GGAGGCTGCTGTGGGTAAAATCAGGATGATTTTACTCCCCACAGGATGGATGTGAGGGTGCAGAACCTGTGCAGGAATCAAGCAGGAACACAAGGCTGGTGGCAAAATCCAGCCTCAGACCTGGATCATTCTTACAGGAAGACAGGGCCCACCATGGTGGTCAAAGCTTGGACTTGGTGACCTTGGAGATCTCTTCCAGCCTTAATAATTTGATGATTCTATGGCTTGCAGGCCAAAATTCACTGGGACCAGCACAAACTGGATGCCTAAATCCCTACAGCTCCAAAATTCACTGAGACCAGTACAAACTGGATATGCCCAAACCCACAGGGCTCCAAAATTCACTGGGACCAGCACAAACTGGATGCCCAAACCCCTTGGGCTCCAAAATTCACTGGGACCAGCAAAAATTGGATGCCCAAACGCCTTAGACTCCAAAATTCACTGGGACCAGCACAAACTGGATGCCTAAACACCCTGAGCAGCCCAGGTGTAACCTGTGGGTAAATTCTTGCCTGGTTTTGGTTTGAGCTGTGAAGGTCTGTTCCAGAGGATTTCTGATCCAGTGGATGCCAGAGTGGGATGGGAAGTGATCAGCAAGGAGGTAGAAAAAGTTACCAGGGCTGTGCTCAGTAATTGTGGGAGGGTGCAGAAGCCTCACTGGTGGCTCCCAGCTCTTCATAATCCCCTTCCTTGTCACCCCTGACACCTGCACAAGGTAACCAGGGCAGAAGGACCATTCAGACCAAGCTTTTTAGCCTCTTTCTGTGGGTTTCTTGGGATGAAAAAAACATTTTTGCCAGGGACACACACAATATTTTGGTTTGTCCTTGAGAAATGCAGGCAAAGGACAGCCCAAGGTGCTCCAATGTCACCTGCTGTCCCCAGGCTTTGCTCTGCCAGACCCATCTCTCAGGCACAGATGGAAGGAAAGGATTGGGGAGGTTTTGTGTGCTCCAAGTTGGAGCCAAAGGATGGGACCAGGCAGGGATATTTTCCATCACTCAAAATTCCAGAAACAGCCAGGCTACCACTGACTGTGGCAAAAACCATGGGAATGTGGGTAAATTTAACTGTGTGCCATAGAAATGTGACCTCCACCATTGCAATAATCTGATTTTCTCTCATTTAACATCACTTCCCCAGCTGCAGGCTGTAGCCTGTGGTTATATGTCCCCTTGGGTTTTTTTGGGATGGAAATGTAGGAGATGGACCTCTGCTGACACACATCACCTATCAGGTTCCTGTTGCATCTTTCTGCCACATTCAACACTTGTTGAGCCAAAAATCCGGGTCTGGAGGGGGCTTTGCCCACCTATTCCTGCTCTAAGTAAAGATTCCCACTTCAGCAGGGATTAGTTAAAATAGAAAAAAAAAATATGTTTATGCTCCTTATGGTGAAACCTTCCAGATGGGACTGCTCTGAGGGGAAATCAATTGTGAGACTTAACAACCTTAACAGGTCTGGTTTAAGTTTGTTGGCTTTCATGGTGCCTTTCCCAGACAGGGGCAGTGAGGGGGGAATTTGCTTTGTGCTCTCCACATCCTCAGACAGAAGCAGGTCTGTGGTCAGCGTGAGAAAAATTGAGTTTGTGGCGAGCAGGAGGCCTGGGCTGAATCCCAGGAGCTGAAGTCACCATAAGGGACTGGATTTCAAAAACAAACCCTGTCTCCTCATCATCTGGTTGCTATGGAGGCACTGCTGGCTCCTGCTTCCAACCAGGAAAGGCAGGTTTCTGCTCTGGACCAGAGGTTAAGATGATGAGAAAGATGGAGGAACTATTTACAACAGCATGGTGTGACAGAACAAGGGGGATTGCCTTCCCACTGCCAGAGGGCAGGTTTGGATTGGATTTTGGGAAGAAATTCTTTACTCAGAGGGTGAAGTGAAGCCCTGCACGGAGAGATTCTGGATTCCCCATCCCTGGAAGTGTCCAAGGCCAGGTTGGACAGGGCTTGGAGCAACCTGGGGTAGTGGAAGGTGAGAGAGAGTTGGACAAAATTATCTTTATGGTCCCTTCCCACCCAACCTGCTCTGTGGTTCTGTGATCCTTGTGGGTCCCTTCTAACTCAATATATTCCATAATTCTCTGATCCCTGGCTGGCTCAGCAGCGTGAAGGTCGGGTAGAGTTTGGATTTGCAAACAGAATGAGCTTTTCCAGCACTGTCCTGAGAGAGCCAGTGGCCCCCTCAGACTCTCAGATAAAGCAAAAGCCTTTCAGCTCTGGAATCTGATATTTAAAATATTCACAGCAACCCCTCCTGCTAATCAGGAAATTTATAAGATCTTTGGTAGCTGCCTGTGTCTTTTTGTGAGCAAGACCAGGTTTTCATCCCTTTTTCGCTCCTGAATCCTGGCCCCAGAGGCAGGCAGGAGCCTGGCAAGGGGAGATTTGCACTGTCGAGCTTTGTAGACTGCAAACCAGCCAGGAGTGGGGATCTGACTTGTAAAAAATTTAAGTCCAAATGCATTTGGACTCCGTGCTGATTAGTGTCAGGTCTAGCACACACTCAGCAATGTGGTGGCAGGGGCTGCAGAGATTTGAAGCAGGGATGAAACACAGTTTGCAAATAGCAGGTCTGACTTTGGAGCTCCGTAACCCTTTCCTGCCCAAAAGAAAAGGTTTTGGCAGAAGAAGGGAGATGCAGAGAGAAGTCTTTGATATAGAGCAGGGAGAGAAACCGAGGGAACGTGGAGGTGCATTTAGCTTCTCATCTCCTCCCAGATTCACAGGATGGTCTGTGGGCTTCTCATCTCTTGTTTCTCAGTCTCTCCTGGGGCTGGGATTAGCTGCCTGAGCTGTGGATTTGCTGGGAATTTGTAAAGCTCCCTCTGTTTGCAGTCTGGGAAGGCAGAGCCTGGCATGATGTGGGAGATGGCAGCACTGGGGACAGCACTGGAGCTGGGGCTGCAATGAAAACGAGTTTTCCCTCCTCCCTGGATGCAGATTCCCCTCTGCATGGTCTCTCACCCTGATTCCTCCCTGGCAGTGCCATCCTGATCATGGGAAACACATCCCAGACGATCTGAATTATTTGGAGGTTGCAGCCCAGGGCGATGTTTGTCCCCCTGGAATTGGGCTGTTTGCATTTTAGTGCAGAGGTCCTGAGCAGTCCCTTTCACTATGAACCACGAAGTCTCCCCAGATAATGGCATATGTCTGACTTTATAGGAGGAAATCTTCCTCCCAGGTTCCCCTCCATCCTTTGGAAATGGGGCAGCAGATCTGTTTTGGAGGCAGCGAGTGCTGCAGGGTCAGGATGAGCCTCACCCAAAAGGAAATGTCTGATTTTCTCTACCTGGGGTGAGCTCAGAGGGAAAAAGCTGGAAAGGTGGGAGGGAAAGGGTGCCATGGCTGTGTGGTCAGCAGTCCTGCCCCACACTCTGAGGGTCTGCCCCTCCTGCCCTGTTAACTGAACCCCTCCCCAAATCTGGGGGTGGACAACTGTGGGAGGGGGTACAAGATAAGGAAAGTGCTGCTACTCATTTATTTCCCCTTCTCTCTTCTCTCATGGAGAGAGGAGATGGAGGGAAGGGACCACAGAAGAGTCTTGTTGGGGTAAGAGAGGAAGATGTACACGAGTGCCTCTTTGGCATGGGGGGAGCAGGGCTCTGGGCAGCTGGGCTGTAGGAGGAATCTCTGCCACAGGAGGCTGCAGGGAATGCATCCTTAGGGCATTGCAGGGTGGATTCTACTTTGGAGGAAGGGTTTTGGGTTTTGGGGGCTGAAGGAGGTCCTGGCACTGGCACAGAGGGTTCTCAGTCTCTGCAGATGCTCGAAGCCTGGCACCACAGGGTTTGGGGTGTCCTGCACTCAGGGGTGAAAGGAGAGGCGGGTGCTGATATGAGAAGAGAGAAAATCTGTCTCTATTGTCATTTTTTTGCTCCTGTACTGGGTGTTCAGCTCCATCCATTATCCTTTCTGGCCTCAGGGTTACACCAGAGCTGGGTTCCTGAGTAACAGCTCCCTTCCCTGCACGGTTTTGGTGGAAGGGAGAAACAAAATGAGGGGCATTAAGAGGCTAAAATCAAGTAGTGGCAGAAGGAAGAGGAGGCAGAGCCCAGCTGGCCATGCAGACCTCCAGCCCACCCTCCCCAGGTGCAGCCTGCAGTCTGTGTTGAGCCAGCTCCCTGGGGATGGAGAGAGCTGGAGCCTCCCTAACCCAGACACCAACCCTGGTTTCTTTGGGGAGATGGTTCAGATTCACAGTCCAGGCTCTGCTGGGCTCAGCAGAGGGATCTGCATGGGCAGGGGGCACTGGGAAGGAAAGCAGAATCACAGCTGTGCTCACCCCCAGGTCAGGCACAGTTTGGTCCCTTCTGGGGTTTGGGACACCCCAAAATAAGCCTGGGGATGGGGACAACCCCAAACCAAACCTGGGAATGGGGACACTCCCAAACCAAACCTGGGGATGGGGACACCCCCAAACCAAGCCTGGGGATGGGAACAGCCTAAACCAAGCCTGGGGGTGGGGACACCCCCAAATCAAACCTGGGGATGGGAACACCCCCAAATCAAACCTGGGGATGGGGACACCCCAAACCAAACGTGGGCATGAGGACACTCCCAAAACAAGCCTGGGGATGGGGATACCCCCAAATAAAACCTGGGGATGGGAACACCCCCAAACCAAACCTCGGGATGGGGACATCCCCAAACCAAGCCTGGGGATGGAGATACCCCCAAACCAAACCTCGGGATGGGGACATCCCCAAACCAAGCCTGGGGATGGAGATACCTCCAAACCAAACCTGAGGATAGGGATACCCCAAACCAAACCTGGGGATGGGGACACCCCAATCCAAGTCTAGGAATGGTGATGTGGGGCTGCATCTTCTCCTCGTGAGAAGTGCCGGTGCTGGGGCTGCTGTGTGTGTTCTCAGCCGTGTGAAGGGTTAATAAACACAACATCAACAACAAAGTACCGCCAAAACGACCAAATCCCAAATCTCTTCTCTTTCTCTCCCCTCCTCCTTCCCTTCCCTGTTTTTTTCCAGGTGTTGTTTATGGCCACAGGAGGGAGCTCAAATCCAGACATGGGAGGATCGGCTTGATTTCGGATCCAGAGCCTCTTAAACTCTGCTTTTCCTCTAAGCTGGTCCCTGTTATGTCCAGGATCTGGCACCTGCTTGACATTTACTTTGAGTTCCAGAGGACCCGAGACCTAGGATGAGGAGCATTGGATCCGCCCTGAACCTGCTTTTGGTATCTCCACTCTACTTTGTGTGGACCGTGGTCGCTCTGGACCTGGCACAAACTCCCTGCACCACTTTGGTCCAAGGGAAATTCTTTGGGTATTTCTCCTCCTTCGCCGTCTTCCCGTTGAACTCCTCCCTGTGCTCTTGGATTATCCAAAACCCCGACCCTCGCAGGTACACTTTGTACATGAAGATCCTCAAGCCCTCCGGCGTATGTGACCACCAGCACATCCGCACCTACCAGTTCGACTCCTTCCTGGAGTCCACCCGCACCTACTTGGGCATGGAGAGCTTCGACGATGTCCTGAAGCTCTGCGACGGCTCCACCCGCTTTGCCTTCCTCCAGTCCAACAAACAATTCCTGCAGATGAAGCAGACGGCCCCGCCGGGCGTGGACACCTGGCCCATGAGGTGGAAGCCCACCAAGGCTCAGGAGAGGGACTTCTCCGTGGAGTACCTGGTGGTGGGCAACAGGAACCCCAGCAAAGCCGCCTGCCAGATGCTCTGCAAGTGGCTGGACGCCTGCCTGGCCATCAGCAGCAGCTCCCACCCGTGTGGCATCATGCAGACCCCGTGCTCCTGCTCGGGAGGGGAGGTCCTGGATCAGGCCAGCGAGATCCTGGGCTTCACCAGGAAGAAGGAGGATTGCTACAAGGATGGGATTTACCTGGAGAACTGCGTGAGCAGCCCCAAGGACAGCAACGGAGCCGAGTTCCTGGGTGAGTGGAGGGTGGTCGAGGGGGTGTTGGGGAGGGAGGGCTGGCTGGGCTCTGCTCTCACACCGTCCCCGTCACCTCTGTGTCTGTATCTGTGGATGCCTGGCATGAAAAATCCTCATTTCCCAATCGACAGGCAGGTCAGGTAACCCACGGGGCTCTTTAGGAGTCTTTTGCGACTGGAATTGCAAATCAGCTGCCCCTAAATATTCCCCGGATTCCTGCAATTCCTTCTCAGGGCTTGTTCATTGCTTGTTTTACTCCTGCAGCCTCTGAGCTGCTGAGAGGGAGCTGCTTACCTGAGGGTGAGCAGTTTTCCAAAGTAATTACAGATGTCCTAGAAAAAACAGGATCCAAGCTACCTCCCGAGGCAGGCAGCCCTATCAACCACTTCTAATTCCTAGGGAAAACTTAATTCTTGGGTCTGGTTCAAAAGGGGATGGCAACAGAAGGCACTTTGGTTTTGTTCTCAGCTTTGTTTTCCTTCTGGAGACTTTCAGAAAGAGAATTCACCGTGCTGCTTACATGGGGTTACTTGGGCTCATTCCTCAGATATTTCATTGGGTTTTGATTGTGGCCTTGAGTATGGAAAGGGACTGGGGAGGTGGGAGAGCCATGAGAAAAAGGGCTGTGAGTAAGGTGGGATGATCCTGAAGTCTGATCATGTTCTGGAGAGGGAAATGCTCCTTCCAGAGACCTGACACGGTCCTGCCAAGTAGAAGGGACTCAGGGGGATGTCTGGAAGTGGAGCCTTTTCTTACTGCCTGTGTCAGGTCTGCTCCAAGGTGTTTATTCTCAGCTCCCACCCCAGCATGCAGGTTATGTAAAGCAAAGGTGTGATGCTGAACAGCAACACAGGTGTCAGGGAATGGAGCCTCCGGTTCAGAGAGTCTCAGACCCCCACCAGAGCCTTCCCTCTCTCATCTTTTTCAGGTGCTGGACTGAAATGTCCTCTGCCACCAGCAGAAAGCTGACATCTGTCTGGGTCAGGAATCTGGGGATCCTTCCTGGCTTCTTCACTCCTGTTGAGGATGGGATTTCTCAGGGTTGAGGGGAAGAGGCCAGATTTGCTGTTGCAGTAGGCAGGAGGTGACCAGGCACAGATTTGGGCTGTGCAGAGTGATTTTCCTGCAGACTGAAGCCTGGCCTTAGCTGGGAGATCAGGGTATGATCAGGTACTCGTGCTTCTGTCAGTGTATTTTGGGGGAGATTTTGCTTCTCACTGGTCTGTGAATCAATACATGAAGGCACAGCCGAGCCATAAATCCTGCAAATTAGTTCTTCAGTCGTGCCTCCCTCCCTGGCCACGAGCACAAGACTCTCCAGATTTGGGTTGGGTTTTTATTTTTTTTCTTGCAATGCCCTTTTCTCCTGTGTGAACAGCTCTGAGGAGCCTCTCGGAGTTCAGTCATGTGTCATGCCTGGAATTTGCTGATTGGGTGATTTATGCTTTCCACCCAAGCAGTGTGACCTTTCTCACTGCAACCAAAGGTGAAATTTGAAATAAGATTTTCAGCAAATCCTGAAGCATTCAAGCTTAATATTGGCTTTTGTAGGGATCTCTCCTAGTCCAGCTCGAGTGCCTGAATGTTCCCACCAAGTAAATATGAAAGAGGCTCGAGGGTGGCTGAATCAAAATCCTTTTTGGGTGTCAAATATTTGTAGAGCGCAGATAATTTTTCTGCTGGCTGCTCACATCTGCTCCACACTGGAGACAGGGAATTCTCATCTTGGCTGGTGGGATGCCATCCACACAGCAACGATGCTTGCAGGGTGCCCGGGCTCTCCATGTGCTGCTCTGTCTGTCACTGTGTCTGTTTTGATTTATGCAAAGGCTTGATCAGGAAGATGGAGGCGAGATCCAATTTGGACAGGGAGTCAGCAATCCCTTAACAGCATCTTGTGGGTGGAATATTTTGATAGGGTTCCTGATTTCCAAGTGCTGATGCTGGTTATTGCAATCATTGCTGTTCCAATTGTATCTGTAGCGGGTTTTTTTTCCCCAACAAGTTTTTTCTTTCTTTTTTTCTTTTTTTATTATTATTATCATTGCTATTTTTCCTTCCCTGCTGCTTTCTGAGTCATTTGTTGTTTCTGGGCCTGTGTTAACACTTTCATCCTGGAACAAGTGGAGATGTGTGTGTTGTGCTGATCTACTCTGATGACTTTAAAGGCACAAGAAGGAATGTGGAAGGTTCCCTGCCCATGGCAGGGGGTTGGAATGAGATGATCTTTGTGGTCCCTTCCAACTCAAACCATCCTATGAATTGCCAGATACCATCCTGAAATATGAAACCTGACTTTCCCTACTGTGCCTTTTTATTCCAAAACAAATGGATGGGTGCAAATCTACAATGAGATGTTGCAGTGGACACAGCTGTGCTTTGGCTCATGGCCTGTGGGTGAGATCCCTGTGAAAAGCTTCACTCCAAGAGGATCCCATTGCTCCAGAACCAAAGGGACTTCAATAAAACATAACTGACAGCCAGTTTTCACTCATGGCCAGTGATTTTACACCTGGCTCAGGTGCACAGGGAAGATTATGATCATTTACTGGGGAACTTCTCAAAGAAACTCTGCCAAAGTCACCCTGTCTTATCTAGAGCATCTGTTCTTCAGTGTCTGGAGGAAGGAGAAACTGCTCCACATTTCCTTCCCAGGTTTAGTGAGACTCTCTTTGCACTCACTGCCCCACACAGACATTGCAGAGGGTACAGCAGGCAGTGATGAGTTGCAGAAAATCCCTCGGGTTATCCCTCAGATATTTTGGTCTTGCTGCACGTGGAGCTTGTCCTGGTGATCAGCAAGACATGCTTTGAAATCTTGGGCAGTTTGAACTGGAAATGTTTTCCAGGAGAAGACAATTCAACATGGAAACCATTTTTAGCCATTATCAGATATCCCTTGGCTAATTCAGGAAATGTGGGAAGAAGGCAGAGATTTGTTTGTAGGTCCTGATGTTTAGATGTAAACTCACTTTTTTGGGATGCAAATTGACATTTTTGGAATAGGTCTGGGGGGCAAGGACGGGGGAGTGAAGAAAGGAAAGCCTCCTGGAATGCTGGGCATTGGTTCTTCTCCGTCTGAAAGTGCTGGTGGCCCTCCCAAATGTAAGCTGGATTCTGTAATTGGAGCTGGAGCTTTAACAGGGATGCTGATGTGACCCTGTAATGAGAGAAGGTTAAATGTGTGCTTAAGTGCTGTGCTGTGTTAGGCACTTAATGAATGTCTAATTAGTCCTGTCTCCATGTGAGCGTTCCTGGAAGGCCATTGCAGTGCTGTCACATTTTGGTGGCCCAAAAAGATAAACATCATTCTCTGCTCCTTCTGTTCTTCATGTCCCCACCTTGGAGGGCTCCAGGATGCTTACTGCAAAACAGGGTTAAAAGCGTCCCTCAAAATATAATATTTGCTTCTTGATAGATCAGGTGGCTCCAGGGCTGGAGGGGTTTTTATAATGAGTGGGTAACTGGAACACAGTAATGCTGGACTGAAGTGCTGGGGATTTTCCTGCCTTTCCTGCTAAATTTTTCCATTATTTTGCTGTCCCCATTGCTCTGAACAAAAATCAAATCCCCCTTCCTCACACGTGCTCATCACTTCTGTTTTGTCAGAGGTGTTTTATCTTCTATTTTTAGGTGCTTTCCCACCTCTGCTACATTGATTAAGGTGTTTCAGAGTGTCTGATCTCTGTTTGGAGAGGCCCATGAACAAGTTCCTTCTCAACCTCTGCTGCATTAAGTAGGCTGGACTTCATAAATCTCTCACTGCAGGACACACTCTCCAAACATCTCTTGTTGTTGGGAAGTTTTGCTTCATGCTTGGCGTGTTTTTTGGTCAAAACATGCTTTGGTCTCCTCAGCAGGGCTGAGCTTCTGCCTGGATTTGTGGCTCAATGGCTCCTGAGTGGGGTCCATGATGTGGAGGAGGAGCCAGAAGCACAGAAATTAATCAATTCCCACCCTCCCTGCTGCAGGAATCATCTTGTGTGGCTCAGCTCCCCTCCCCTCGAATCTCCAACCTCACCCAGGACAGGAATAACTCAATAAGTCATTTCCTATATTTGAGATGAGCTTTAGTGGCCATGAAAGCTCCAGAGATTGATAAAGAGTTGTGAGTAATTGCCATGGGGCAGATCTCAAATCTTTCCTTGACATCTTCAGCTCCTTATGACACATGCTCTGTTCCAACAGCAAAAATCCCCCTGGCTGGAGCAGCTGAGCTTGCAGACAAAGGTGTTTGTCTTTGGTTTTGCCTTGGTGCTGGATTTGCCAACCAGATGGCAAAGGGATTTGGGTGAGTGACTCTCAGGAAGGTGTGCTGCATTCCAGTTCCTCATTTCTCCACCTCTGTCTGTCCCTGGACACCCCTGAGAGCAGAGGTTGGATGTGGTGAGAGGTGGACAGCAAAACACAGGGCAAGGAAGCTCTGATTTCTCCTCGTGTGTAAAATTTTCCTGTGTAAACTGCTGAAATCTTTCGGGATTTTACCTGATGTCCCCACAGCTTAACTCCAAATCTCAGCAGCTGACAGCAAGACCTGATATTCCTTCCCAGCTCCTGCAGGAGGAGGTTGGTTAGAGCCTGGATCATGGCAAAGAGGTCACCTTGTCACCTGCAGGGAATTCCCTATGCACTCATATGGGCAGGTCCCACTGGGAATGTCCCTCTTGCCTGTGGTCAGGATGTTTTACGGATGAGGAAAATGTGGAGATCTCCTCCCTGAGGGCTGGAAAGGGGGATTCTGGTTTAAACACTGAGGTCTCTACAGACCTGTACAAGCCCTGCCTGCCCCACTGTTCTCCTCTG